TTAAGATTAAAATAACTGTTCATTGTTATGCAGAAAAAAGGCTTTTTTTGTAAACTTCATCAAATCTGCACCGTTCGTTCGATTCTCAAAAACTGATATGCCAAATTAAAGGGCTTGGCTTGTAGATGTGCAATAATGTGCTTAATTTTTCGAAAAGAGTTGTCACTTGTTAGAATTTATATTCAAATTATTTAATAAGTTATATCATTTATTACATTATATGGGTATCAATCGGAATGTTTTTGAAAAGGCTTCATTTCTTAACGTACTACTTGTAGGAGGCTGACCACTTGTTCAAAAATGCAAATTCGATTTAAATTAAGGCAATTGGTAATAAGGTAAATGGGCTATGTGCCATAATTTTGGTGTCAGATTTAAAAAGGTTTAGGTTTGAAAATATTTTGGAGGGTGTTGTCACCTAAATTAAGGAGAGTTACGGCATGTTTAAAAAATTACATGCAACTTGAATTGCGGCAATTGAAATATGTATCACAATATGTTTAAGAAGATTTGAGTTTAAAAATATTTTGACAAAAGTTGCGCGCTGTTTCAAAAGTCTAAATTAATAAAAATTATTAAATATGGGTGTCAAACGAAAGAGTGGTGAGAAACATTTATTTTGAGCATTTGAAACATTTTCGAGGTACTTGAAGAGGGTTGCCACCGGAATAAAAAGTTGAATTCAAATTTTTTAACAAGTTAAATGAATAATTAAAAGTTTTGTATCAATTAAAATGGGTTTTAAAAGACTTTATTTCTGAAATATATTAAAGAGGGTTGGCATCGGTTTAAAAAACCTAACTGAACTTAAATTAAAGCAGCTCGGTTATTGAAATACATACCTATGTATCTTAATTTGTGTTACAGGCGAAAGAGATTGAAGAAAGTTTCAGTTTGAAAATATTTTGAAAAGGGTTGCCACCGGTTGGAAATTCGGTAATTTATACAAAAGGTATATTAAATATTAAAATATTGTCTTCAAATGAAAGAGCGTTAAAAAATCTTTATTTTGAACACTACAAATATTTTTAAGGTGTTTGAAGAGGGTTGCCACTTGTTAAAAATTTAAATTCCTTTAAAAGTTAAGTGAATTATTAAAATAATGATATCTTTGGAAATAGGTTTAAAAAGTCGATTTTTAAAAAGAAGAGAAAATCCAATAAAATATTTTTGAGTTTGAGTAAGATAACAAATATATTTCTAAACGCGCTGTCGTACCCCATGATTCAATAATAAAAGGTTTGCTCAGTAAACATTTTTATAGTCCCCTCTTGAAAAAATCGGCTGCCTAAAGCTTGTTCCACACGACAGACTATGCGATGTTGAGATATGAACCCAATTCAAGCCGTACCCTGGTTTCAAACCATTTGAACGGCACACATCATTATTTGGATTAATGTGTATTAAAATATGTAAACAATTCTTTGCAAAACTAAATTTCTATCACTTCTTTTTTTTTTTCTCATCCACTTGCAGAAGGAGGAGAAAATCCGCATTCTGAAACAACGCCTCGTCGAGTGGGAGGCTACGCACAAGGGTGGCGAACTGAACGGCGCCAACAGCACCACCAATGGCATATCCTTGGCGATGGCCACACACCAGCCGTTGGCGAGCGTCAATTCTTTGCCCGGCGGTGGTATGGCTGCCGCGGGTTCGGGTTCGGGTTCCACTAACAATTCACTCAATCTACAGGCAACGACGTCCTCCTCACAACATAACACACCTGCCGCCACATTAGCGATAACACAAGGTAATTGCCAAGCGAAATCTATTGTTCATAATAGCAATCAGTTTAGCGAAAACCAACTCAGTAACAGTAACAACAACAACACCAACATAATTAAATGTGGCAACAACAACAACACAACAACAACAAAACAATAAATGCAATAAAATGCAGCTGATGCTAAACTCAACATCATCCACCGAATTGGCTTTATTTGCTTTCAAAATGACTGCCATTAAACGAGACTCGTTGGTTTTGCTAAAAGTTGCTGAGCGTCGCAAAAACTCATCGCCGCTGTCCGAATTCGACAGTGCCATTGGCATGTGTGGTGGCGGTGATTACTCGCAGCTGACGCGATCATCACGCGGACCCAGTCAGTCATCAGCATTGGAATTCTCCGATAATTACCTTTGAGTACTGGCGGTGTTAGCTGATCAGGTGTTGTACAAAAAAAGGGGGCGGGTTGCGTGCGTGAAATTTCGGTACGAATACTTTTGGTAGCAAAGCACAAGCCGTGTACATACCAATTTCATGAGAAGCTTTTTTTGTTGTTGGTTTGATGGCGTTTTCGGCGCAATTTTTAGTGCATATTCCTTTGAAATCTGGTGTAAAAAGTTATTCTCTTTCTCAGATATATTTAGTGCCTTTTTGTATTTTTCTGAATTTTTTTGTTGAAATTTTCATAAATTATTTTGTTTTCTTTCTAGAAATACTTGCAATTTTCTGCGGCATAGGTAAAATTATAAATATAAATAGCTTAAAGTGTGCACTTGTCTTTAGTCAAATAAACTAAATGTGTTGTCCGATCGCAAAATTATCACACATTTTGTTGTTATTTCACGTTGAGCCTCTTACATATACGTATACGAATACGAATACAAAAACGAATAAGAATATAAATGCGAATAAGAATACAAATACAAATACAAGTACAAAAATAAATACGAATACAAATACGAGTACAAATACAAATGCGAATACTAAAACAAATACAAATGACAATGCAAAAACAAATATAAGTACAAATACAATTATAAATAGGAATACAAATACAAACAGAAATACAAATGCAAAAACAAATACAAAACCAAATACAAATGCATATACAGATACAAATACAAATACAAATAGAAATACAAATACAAATACAAACAGAAATATAAATACAAATTCAAGTACAAAAACAAATACAAGCACAAACACAAATACAAATGCAAACACCAATTCAAACACAAATTCAAACACAAATTCAAATACAAATACAAATACAAATACAAACACAAATACAAATACAAACACAAATACAAATACAAACACAAATACAAATACAAACACAAATACAAANAAATACAAACACAAGAACAAAAACAAAAACAAAAACAAAAACAATGTTTAGTGTGTGTCTTGACGTTGTTATACAAGTGGAGAGATCCACAGTTTTTCGTCCCTTCCGAACGACAGATGGATCTTATGAGAAGCTTTCTCACGGCAAAAATTCACTCGGAGGCTTGCCACTGCCTGCCGAGGGGAGATGCTCTTTCTAATTTAGAAGTTGTTCGGACCAGGAATGGAGCCTGGGTCCTACGGAGTGGTAGCACGCACCTGTAAGCACTCAGCCACAGCAGCCGCATAAAAATACATACTTAAGTTTTAAAAATTGCTTTTTTACAAATGTGCGAATCAAAAATTGCGTTTAGGAGTCGTATACTCTTCCAATATTCTAAATGCTTATTTTTATTTATTTCTTAATTAATTTTTCTTGAATAAAAAAATGATTCAACAGTTTATTGAAATAAGTTGTATAATATTTAGCATAAAAAGTCTGTGAATATCACCTCGAAAGTACAGTCGTCGACAAAAGCACCTTAAATGTTAGTCCACTTTTCTGTGTATCCACTGTACATAAATAATTTCATACATAGATGTAATTCTTACTTGTATGTATGCAAGCATTTACTAACAAATTGACTTTTCTCGCTCTTTTTTCTCAAATCTTTTCAGATACACATGATCATCATACATGAAAAAACGCGTCAATTTCCTTTTCGTGATAAGTAAAATATATGTAAATTAGAGTAATGTAATAAAGATAAACGACAACCAATGCATAGCTACATACATACATACATACGTCGTTGTACAAATTCTACTGGCAATTAGTAAAATTTAAATGTAAGAGTAAGTATGTAAGTATGTACTTATGATAAGAAGTAGTAAAAGCAATTATATGAAATGCTGATTGATGTACATATGTGTGTACATAATTTTAAGTCATAACAGTGTAAACTGAAATAACTAATACACAAACTCTTACTACAAAAATTAGTTAAATTTATCAAATGTTTAAATGAGTATCAAGTATTGAAAGTGTGCATGTAGTTAAGCGAGTGAAAGTTATTCTAATTTGTTGGCGAAAATTTGTTTTTTTTTTTTTGTTTTCTAGTATATGTTTTATTTACAAAGTAACGAAATTGTTGTAAGCAGTTATGAAATTTGTTAATGTTCTTAGGCAATAGGTAGACACTTAGACGTGCGTGAAGCACAATGAAAGCTATGCAGCCTCGAATAGCTATTAGCATAATTGTATGTATGTATGTATGTATGTAATTGTAAAAGTAACTCTAACTGTGTGACTTAAGTTTTAAGAAATATGCGTGTTCTTTCGAAAAAAAAAAAAAAAAAAACTTTCCACCACTAAAAACGAACACAAACAAGTTTTATAATTAAAAAAAAAAAAATATGAAATGCCATTACTTAATGTTCTAAACATTTATAAGACAAATGAAAACTATTTACTTAAGCAACGTTCAAAGCTAAAACAATTACAATGCCTAAAACTTTTCTTTATGTTAAAAATTTGTATTTATACATTCTTTGCTTTCCTCTTGCTATAAATTTTCATTATTTCATTTCAATTTGCAGCAGCTTTAGTGCTCTAAACATTTGTAGACATTCATTCGCAGTAAAAGTCGAATTTCCGTGATTTTTCGGCATGATCTGATATTTCTAAGAATGTGCATTAGTGCGGGTCAATTTTTTTTTTTTTTAATATGTGCGTATAGCATAGGAGAATCCTACGTGTAGTTCTTGTCAAATTTTCCGAAAAAACCATGGGTCTAAAATCAGTTTTGAGTTTGTCAAATTGTGAAAATAGGTTTCGAAAAAAATGTGAAAATGTTCTCGGTTGCGCCATCTGGCGGGAGTTTTAAGAAAAAGATAGGTGCAGAGATAAATTGTTCATTCCAAAAAACCCATTATAGATTTTTTTTATAGAAAAATTAAGCAAACAGCAAAATGCTAAGAAACCTAAACCTAAAGAAAGTAAGGATAGCTAGTTGTTTTTGTGGCGATACTACTAACCCTAAGTCGGGTTGTGTGCATCAATCGCTCTCGCTAAGCTGTACCAAGGGTAGGCCGAGTAAACGAGCCGATTCGGCGGTCTTGGGCCAGAGCAAGGGGGTTGTCGTGATGCTTGACACTATTTGAGCATATCGGGATCAGATCTGGATAAGTAGCTGTCGAGACGGTTTCAGTATCCAGACTATAGTACGGCCAGAGTACTGCGAATTCCGCGTGGTAGTCGAAGCTCAGAGTCTGTATTAAGTGCAGATAGGTTGAGAGTTGCAGAAGGTGTTGATAGACTCTCTATGAATGGTTGTCTGTTTAGATCTGGTTCATTTTCTTACACTCGAAAGGATTCCTTCAGACGAACCTGGTTGGAGCCTTTTCTGTTTTAGAGTACTCCTCTCTATAGCACCCAACTAAGAACCGGACCGCAAATTGCCTTGAATTTCGGCAACTACGTTTCTTTACCTTTGCCCCAAGTTCTGCCGACAAGCGACTTGAGAACGTTGTTGCGGATCTGTACTTTCAAAAGGTAACCTCTACGGTTTTCGGGCTGTTCACCGTCGGAATTGGTATGCCATCGACGTGACGTGATAGAATAGTTGAAGCCTCATTCGTCCAGGCGGTGAAGAGAATCGCTCTTGATTTCGTCGAGAGAGTTTAATTTAAGTTGGATCTACATATTCAGAGCATGCAATATTATTTAATTAAACGAGCCAGCCACCAGCTTGCAAGCTTCAAATGAAGTTTCGTTTAAGCAAAATTTCATTGAGGTTCCAATAAACATTTTACTAAAAGAAAGCTCATTGTGTTTCATTACTAACATTAAAAATTTCCTTAATTTATTTTATTTTTATTTTTATTTTATGAAAGAATAATTTACATTGGTAGAAGTTAGCTGCTATTTCGGATATTACCTCATCTCCACTGCGCTTGTCTGATTTCTGAAAAAAAATTGTTATTAGCCCACGAACAAAGAGACACAAAAGATAAAAATTTCAAAAAAATGTATGCGCAAATATTTTCTACGCACGAGCAATGCAACTTTTCTACCACAGAAACAAAAATACAAGCAAATACATCACCAACTCGCAACGTCAGCATTTAAATTCCAAACTAACAAACAACAACAGCAATACGAACAAACTAAATAAAATACAAACCAAGCGAATTATGACAAATTAAATTCCTAAGAAATGAAAGACTTTGAACAGCAGCAAACGAAAAAAAAAAAAACAAGAACAAAAAATATATGATTTAAAATCATGTAAATAAAATTAAGTAATTCCAATGAAGGACTTAAGACACAAATGGCAAGTAAATTCGCGTGTAATCCGCAAGTCATTACAAAGACGAAAAATGCTTACAATGGAGCGGAAATTCCCGGGCTTGTAAAATACGACAAACCAAACACTAAACGCATATACCTTAATATGTATGTATGTATGGGTGGCACATATGTATGTATGTAAATATAAAGGAAAAATATTGTAATTTTAACCAAAAGGCATACGCGACTTCACGGGTACTACAATGATGTATATACATACACATGTATGTAAATGCATAGATACAATTTAGTGAAACAATGTTAGTGTGTATGTATATGAAGATTAAAAAAGTTAATTAGCTCATGTAAACAAATTAATTAGGCGTGTTGATAGTTAAATTAGGCATAAAATGAAATTAAACTACAAATAACTGATTTGTGTAGTTAAATAAATTTTAATTAGCGTAGTTAAATGTTGAATTGAATTGTGAATATACTTAGGCAAATTTAAGTAAAAAAAAAACAACAAAATGTATATTAAATCTAGAAACGTACATATGTACATAATAAGTAAAAATAAAAATGAAATTAAAATACTACGTAAATAAGTTTGCAACTGTTAGTTATACAAAAAACTATTGCTTTCTTGTAACTCCCACTTTTTTTTTGCAAAATCTAAAAACAAAAAGAAAATTTTAAATTTTATGCGACTTTTCGTTGACTCACTTGAGCTAGTCCGGCAAGTTATGTTATGCACTCACTAGCAAAAAAAAAATTAATGGTACAACCATTAATACGACAAAAAATTGTCGGCTCTTTATGTAAGCCCGATAGATAAATTGATGAATTTTTTTTAGTTAGTAAATTTTAGACCCTCTTCTCCGTCGTTCCTTTTATATACCTATACATATGTGCGATTAATACTGGTGTAAAGCAAAACTGTGCACTGGATACCACTGTCCAATTCCTTTGTAGAATTCCTCGCTAATACCGAAAATCGATTAATTTTTTTTTTATGTATAAGTTTTTGAGATAGTTGTAATTTACCACTTCAATTCAGCTAAAAACACGTGGTTGCAAATGAAAGCTAACAAAATTTTCCATAAACCGTATGTGCATCGCTTTTCTATAGGTCTGCTAGTTTTTGAGAATCTAATTAATCATTACAGTTTTTTTGTTTTTCTTAATGAAAATATTACAAAAAAAATGCAAACTTAACAGGGATAAATCTAAAAAGTAATAGATTATGTGTGATTTTTATTAAAGCCTGCTCTGTTGCAAAAAAAAATCAACCTACCAATGAAGAAAATCGATGGATAAATAAAAAAGGAAAAAATAAAAAGGAAATGAAAGGAAGGTCAAATGAAAAGATTTTTTTTTTTGTGAAATATAAGCAGAAAATAATGTTACTCATACGCCAAGTATATATTAGCTTTCACTTGCCATATTTCGCATTAAGATTGTACAATTGCTTCGCAAGATTTTTAAACCCTTTTCGCATTCTGCATCCTCGCAACTAGTGTTGCCAGAGAAAAAATTCGTTTGGAGCTAAAACGGTCGAAAGAAGAGCTAAAAAGGGCTAAATAATACTAATGCTAGTAGCTAAAATGAGCTACATATTTTTGTTAAGGTTGAGCATTTATTGACGTAAGGTGGTTTTTACATTTTCGGCAATTTTAATAAAAACAACTAATTTTATAAGTTTGAGTGCTGAAAAAATCTTTTAAAACCAAAATAAGGTGCATATATTTCGAATTCTTGCTATAGCACTTATAACAGTGAACTAAAAATACTTAACAAACTGTTTAAGTCTGCAATTTCAGATATTTGAATTGAATAATTTGTTCGCAAAATTTTTCTGGAAAGTTTTTTTATCAACGCTTAAGTTTTGGCTTATATACATATACCAAATACAACTAAAACTTTCTGGAGCTAAAAAAGTGCTAGATAAATTTGAAAAGAGCTAAAAAAAAAAGGGCTAGGAGCGAAAACCCAATTTTCGGAGCTAAACAGAAAAATAAAGAGCTAAATCTAGCTTCAAAAGCACCAAAATTTCAACACTGCTCGCAACCGGTAAATTTTATTACCATCGCAAATTACTGCCCCGTGAAATATGCAAACCCAGAAGTTCCACAAATCTTCATAGCTGAATATTTTAACTGCATTACCAGCGTACCTGGTAACACTTTTTGGTACTAAAATTTGCCGGTTACCAAATTATCGATAAATAGACCTGTACGTGGAACCACTTTTATAAAGCTGAATAGCGGTAAACTCAAAACATCCTGAGAACTTCTCTATAGGAAAAAATTAAGATTTGAATTGGATAGGGGCATCCGGTGAAAAAAAAACACAAATTTGTGATCCAGTGTAATCAAATATTTTGCGCTTGCACATTTGGCTTAGTATTTGGCATAGCTTCTCCTCCGCGTATTTATGAAAAAACGAACATTGATTCTACAGTGTGGTAGGATAATATAATTTCTATCTTAAAATTGCTTAGGCATTTTTTAAATCGGGTTCTTTTTCGGTACACATCGGTCAATTTTAGGATATTCACTCCTACAGATGCAATATAAAATAATATTTTCACCATAGGATCGCTGTTCTTACGTTTAATACCAAATTTATAAGATCGGAGCAGCAAGATAGTCACTTCGACATTTATTTTTTTTTTTCAAATTTTTCCCCGTCTTTATTGTTAACGGAATTAAGTTTTGCAATTCGGTACCCAGAATTCAATACTTTCAGGGTTGTTTATTGAATTTATTACAAAAATTCTTACTGACTAAAACGATAACTTAGAACTAAAGTGCAGAAATCACTAAAACAAAAATAAATTCAACTTAT